CAAACTTTTCGAGGATGCATAATAGTCTGCGCTGGGATTTGCAGAATAGATGGAGGCAGCTACATGGGGTTGCCCGGCAAGGCGAAAGCTCAAAAAAAGATTTCGTGATGCACGCCGCCGCTCTACACCTGGCGCCACACTGTGTGGCAGATTACGTTAGGCCGCAGCGTTTTGTCAGTTCGGTTTTCCTACACTTGGCGCCACACCGTGTGGCAGATTACGTTAGTCCGAATTGTCTTACCAGTTTCGTTTTTTTACACCTGGTGCCACATCCTGTGGCAGACTACGCTAGTCCGCATTGTTCGAAGCTTCATTCAGTGTGCACAGTTTTTTCTTTATGTGGTGACGACCACACTATTAAGACTTTATCTTGATAAGATAGCGCTATTTGAGTTTTGTCGCATAGCGATCGGACTCGCGCTGCTGTTTGCTTTGAGAATGTACTTGTTCTTGCCGGTGCGTGTAGCAGCACCCGTTAAATGCCCAGAGGCAGCCGGATAGCATGCCGACAAGGCCGTTTGCCTGTGTTTGTTTTGGAGCGCCCTGATTAATGAAGTGAGCTGCGATCGGTGATCGTCGCTCGACGGCGCCGCGAGCGTCGATCAGGAGGAGTGTGATTCCCGCTCACTCCCCGTGCCCTTCTGCTCCTTCCCTGCTCCCCCGCTCTATCCCTCATGCCCGCCTTGTCGCTGCCGTTTTGTTTCGAACTAGGGCCCTTGGCCTTAGAGCTACGCAGATTGATTCGCCGCGCGATCATTCGACAAACGATATCAGCGATATCCATATCACACGGAGGAGCGTGTCAAAACCCGCCGCGAGCGTCGCCGCCGCGCTAAGCTGGCCCAAAGCCGCAAACACGTTTCCGCGATGGCGTCGCGCACGCTTAGGTGGACTCCGCATTTAAGCCCCTTCTCACGACTGGATGGGGTCTGGGGGGAGGGGAGAGAGCGAGGGAGGCAGGGAGGCCCGATCACCCAACGTCGTGATTTTTTGGCTAATTACGTCGGTTCCTGGAGGTCGGGACGCCTTCCCAAGGACCGATTTTTCACCCTCGTCTTTTGATGGTCCCGGGGCTGGTTGAAGGCCACCAGTGGCCGAAAACGGCTGCAAATCTCCCGTTGTGATCCTTTGACGACGCGAGGGGATCCAGGGGAGGGGAGAAAGGAGGGAGGTCTTCCGACGCCGTGTTTTTCTCGCTACACGTCGGCTCCCGGGAATCCGGACGCCTTCAACGGGACCGGCTTGTCATCCTAATCCAGAGATCCGATATCGTGATTTTTTCGATGCGGGGTCCCTGGAGTGACCCCGAGGTCCCGACAACTTCTATAGGCCCGGTGTTTCGTCCTACATGTTTGACGGTCCAGGGGCCCGTTGAGGACCTCAGGAAGCCAAGAATTGTCCGGAAGCTTCGGGATCGACCAAGAGTACTTGAGGGCGTCTGGAGAGAAGGCTCCTCGGAGCCTTTTGGGGCTTCTTGGTGGCCCCTTAGGGGCCGCTTGGGGGCTTTTTCGGGAGCTCTTGGAGGTTTCTTTGGGCCTCTGGGGTGTCTTTTGGCGGGAAGGCTGGAAATGTCGGATTGTGTACTCCTCGGAGTTCTGTCGGGGAGCTGTCTGGGGGCCCTCTGGGGCCGTCTTGGGGCCTCCTGGATAGTCCAGGGCTCCCCTGGAGCTGTCTTGGAGGCCTCTTTGAACTCTCTTTGGCCGTTTTGGGGCGATATTGTGGGCTCCTGGGGCCGTCTTCGACACGGTCGAAGCCGAATATGCGGATATCGTGAAAATGTACCTTCCGATTGGAATGGAGCCATTTTTGCTTCTGGAGGCGCTCTTGGGAGTCCTCTTGGGGGACTCTTGGGCCGTCGTGGGGGGTTCCCGGAGGCCGTCTTGGAGCCATCTTCGTCGTCATGGAGCGACAATTCGGGGATTCTGGGCTCTCTTAGACGTTTGAGGACCTCCTGGGACCCTCCGTTGGCGTTTCGGGGCTGTCTGGGGCTGTCTCGGGTGGGCCCCCGAGGCCCTGGTCCTCCCATGCCCCCCCGTGCCCCGGGCCAGGGGCGCCCGGGCCTCGTGCACAGGGATATCATATATATATATATATATATATATATATATATATGTATATATACATATATATACACATATTCATATATATAATATGAAAGATAGGGGGATAGACGGAAGAAGGGGAAGAGGGGGAAGAAAGGGTTGACGAGGAACGAAAAACGTATCAACTTTTGACGATCCGCGCGTATTTCTTGGATCTGCGCAGGACCACCCCTCCCTGGCGCGCGGAGCACGACAGGGAGCTCCGAAAGTTGTCTATGCCGTACTTCGCTCATCGAATGGAGCCGACTCTGGGCCTCCGACCCATGGCGGCCACTCTCGGGCGGTGGCAGAACTGGGTTTAGTGGAACCTGGTTTAGTAATCTGTACCGGGGGCGCCCCCCGTCCCATTTCCACTCACCGGAACTTCCGCCACCCGAAAAAACACCAGCTATGGAAAACCTGGCTTAGTGATTCTGGCCAATTGAAAGGCTCCGGGGCCCTACCACTATCGAGCTGGGCGAAAAGGGGGGATAGCAAAGGGGGTGGGGGGGAGAATCACCTCACGTAGGTGATTTTCCTGGAGCCTCCTGGGGCCTGAGGCGGCCATGTATCGAGGAATGGGCCCGGCGGCGGGGCCGAAACCAGCTGCATGCGGCAAATTTCGTACCCCCCCCTCTCCCAATCCCCTCCTTTCGTTCGGCCCGATACCACGAACCGGGTCCCCTTACCCGGGGCCCAGGCCATATTCGGCCACGCGCAGAGGGGGGTGGGGGGAGGGGGGAGGGCTGCTTAGAAGCACCCCTGCTTCTTAGGAGGCGCGGGCCTCATCTGTAGATGTAAGGCCGGCGCCTTCTACGAAGCAGCCTCCTTCTAAGAAGCCCTGCCCCCTCCCCCCACCCCCTTGTGCGCGCCGCCAAGCATCGACCCACAGTCGCCCACTCATGGCCGATGATCAGGGCATGGGTTCCCCAGCCTGCCGAGGACCGTGCAGTCTTGCTTCGGGAGGGGAAGAGAACACGCAGACACCATTAATCGTCGATTCCCAAGCAAATATGGGAACTGGGATATGGGAAAATATGGGAAAACATGGGAAAATATGGCAATTGTGCGCGCCGCCAACCTGCCCGACACTCAGAGAGCGCACCTCGCCCTCAGCGCCGCCGGCCCCGAGGCGGGGCGCGCCGCGGGAGGGGCGGCGCCCGGGCCGCGCTCGGCCCCGGGCGCGGAGGCCGGGCGGGGTCGCGGGGCGCCGTCGGGGTGCCGCCCGGGCGGCGGGCCGAGGGGCCGATGGTCGAGGAAGGAACAATTGGCATCGCGCGCGTGCGAGCAGTCCTACTCCTCCTCCTCCTCCTCCTCCTCCTCCTCCTCCTCCTCCTCCTCCTCCTCCTCCTCCCTCCTCCTCCTCCTCCTCCCTCCTCCTCCTCCTCCTCCTCGAGCGCAGGGGCGCGAGGTGGCACTGCGACCTCACGCCACAACCGGGGGGCCACGTGCGAAGCCTACCCCTGCCCCCCACGATTTCTGAGGGGGAGGGTGGGGTTCACTTCGTTTGGAAGCTCCCGCGCGAAGTGAACCCCACCCTCCCCCTCAGAAATCGTGGGGGTTAGGGGTAGGCTTCGCATGTGCCCCGCTAACAACTTACACAGGCCGCCAGCGCGGCACGCCGCACTGGAAGCGAGGGCGCTTACGCGCAGAGCTACGCGATCGCGCGGGAGTGTCGGTGAAGACGGTTCCGCTCTTCTGCGTCGCCCAAATGGTGTGTTCTTCTTGGCGTCGCGCATAAGGGGATAGGCGGAGAGGGGGGACGGCCTCTGAGAAGAAGGCTGCCTCCTAGAAGGCGCCAGCCTTCCATCTGCAGACGAGGCCCGCGTCCTCTGAGAAGCATGGGTGCTTCTAAGGAGCCCTCCCCCCGCCCCTATGCCCTCCTCTGCGCATGGCCGAGACAACGGCGTACCCCGAGATCCTGGCGTCTCGAGTGCTCCGAGCCGTGCGTCTTTCCCCCGTCTCGGGCCCTGGCCCTCTCACAGCTCGGTGCGTCTCCAAAGCGAGGGTGTAGGGCTCTGGTCGTGATGTGTTCGAAGTCGTATGTTTGTACGCAGCGTAGGATCGCAGGGTCGACATGCAGTCGAGGCGTTGACCTAAGGAACCCTACATAAGGAACGGTGCCACTTCTGTCCATAGGTGAACCTTCGATGTCCCATCGAAAGCTGAATGAAAGCCTTAGGCAAGCTGCGAAACAATTCAGGAACACCGAGCCCCTTCACAGCGAGAAAAGTTCCTTCTTCAGCGTCCCGATTGTACTCTGTTGGATTTCCGCGGGATTCCCGGATCTACGCCAACCCCCCCCCCCCCCCGGTGGGCTGCGCCGCTGGGGGGCGGCCCAGCGCCGATCCGAGAGAAATCTGCGCGGAGCCCCGAGGGTCCATGTTTGTGCCATTCTTCCGGGGGGGCACAGAGGTGGGGCTGGGGCAAAGGTGGGGCTGGAATGGAAATCGCTCCGAACGGCCCCTGGAGAAAGGAAGCGCGTGAAACGGGAGCATCCAGCTGGGCCCGCTCCCCAGCCCCACCTCGGGATAAACCTGTCATCGCTCGGACGTCCAGTTCCCCGTGCATGTTTCGGTTTCGCGCGTGTTTGTTTTTTTTGCTCGATGGTCCAGGATGATCCTCGATGGCTCTCGCCGAGGAAAACATGCACACGTCCGAGCGATGCCAGGGATAACCCTCCCCCTCGTCCCCCTCCTCCTCCTCCTCCTCCGCCTCCTCCTCCTCCTCCTCCTCCTCCTCCTCCTCCTCCTCCTCCTCCTCCTCCTCCTCCTCTCGGGCTGCTTAGTCCAATCCGCGCTGGCGCCGACTGTCTGTCGCAGCGAATCACGGCAGGAACCATGAGTGTCCTTGCCAGCCCACGCGTCCTTCAGGATGCACTCGCCACCGCTCGGACGTCCATCCCGTGTGTGTTTTTTTGGGTGCCGTGCGTGGTTTGTACGCCAAATGGTCAAGGATGCTCCTCGACGGTCCTCGCCGAAGGAAACATGCACACGCCCGAGCGATGCCGAGTGCATGGCCTTCTTGCCTGCTTGCTTGCCTGCGAGCCCCCGACTGTTCCCTCCTCCGATGGGCCTCCGGAGCGCCGTCGGGGCGCCCCTCGGCGCAGCCCTGGCTCGCGTCCAGCACGATGCAGGCCATCACTCCCTCCTCCAGGGCTGGGCCTAAGCAGTGCTTTTCGTTTTCGTTATGTCTTCGTTTTTCCTCGTGTTTGGGGAAACGAGAAGTGGCATAAGCATAAACAGCTCGGAGGTCCGCGCGGATTTCTCGGATCGGCGCTGGACCCCCCTCCCTGGCGCGCGGAGCGCGCCAGGGGCGGCGCCGGAGGCGCCGCCGGGGGGCCCCAGCACCGATCCAAGAAATCCGCGCGGGCCTCCGAGTTTTTATGTATATGTCACCCTTTGTTCCCCTGAAACAATGTCTTTCGTTTCCGTTTTGTTTTCGCTTCTCCTCGTGTTGTCTTGCATTCGCCTCTGCTACAGAGCGACATCGAAACGAAAAGACGGCCCACGAACTCGCCACAACACCGTTTCGGTCCACCCCCGCTCTCCTCGTCGCCCGCCGCGAGCGAGACCTCGTGCGCGCGGCCCGGCCGACCCCCGTGCGAGCCCGTGCCGCGACGAGGCCCCGCGGCCCCCGCGGCTCGCTCCCCCTGGGGGGCGCCTGCCCCGCAGGGGGGCCCTGGAAGCGACGAGGCAGGTGCTGGCCATCGCTCGGACGTCCAGTCTAGGAAGCTGGGCGAGGGCTGCTAAAACCGTGGCTGCTAAAACGGCCCTCCCGGAATGAAAAAACAACTTCCCGGAATGAGGCGTGGCACGCGAAGCAATCAACGGACTTCTTCCCGGAAGGACGAAGACAACTTCCCGGAGGTCGATTTTAGCAGCCACGGATTTAGCAGCCCTTGCCCGGCTTCCGACAGTCCCTGTGTTTTGTTCGGTCTCGTGCCTGGTCTTCTCGCCAAATGATCAAGGATGCTCCTCGATGGTCCTCGCCGAAGGAAAAATGCACACATCCGAGCGATGCCAAAATTGTTGGTACCGACTCCGTTTTGCTATTTTGATGGCGTCCCCCTTTTCCTCCCTCGATCCTGGCTCACGGGTCCCATTTCTAGAGCGGTTGCCTGACCGCTTCTGGGAACAGCTCACCCCGTTTTCAGGTTCCGGCATCAACTTTGGGAACACGGACTGCCTTGCCGCTTGCTTGCCCACGTCTGGGAGCGAGGCGAAGGGGTCGTCACGGAACATGTCATCCCGCTAGGGGTTTCTTAAGACACAACTCCTGGGAGGTGTTCGCTCGCAGGAAAGATTCGGTACATGGGGATATCTCGACACCTATCCCCGACTTCGTGAGATTTTCGACCAACCATATCAGGCCCAACTCGGGGAGATGCGTCGTGGGGCGTCCATCCTCGATATGGATGCGTCCAGATGTCCAACTGGAGCTATATCCCCGAATTCCCACTCTTTTCCAAACGGCAGCACGTGTTGCAGAACAATGTTGGACTGGAGGGGGGAATCGCCTGCGATAGAAAACAAATTAAGGCTAATTTAGGGGCCAGGAACTGAACCAATTGAGGCCATATCATGCCTACGATTAAGCCGTCGGATGCCAGCGGACCATGCGAGATTAAGCGGAATGTGCCTGGATTGTGCAGGTCTTCGACCAAGGATACGCCAGCGCCGATGCTGAAGTCAGCCTCCCAGGAATTGCATCCTAAGGGGTCGCTCAGGCCGCCCCTGATGACCGAGACGCAGTGAGGCACCACAGCGCCTGGGGCGTGTGGTAGCCTGAGGCCCTGCGGCTCCCAGTCCAGGGTGCAGAAGGAGGCGCCTGAGCTGCAGAACTTGTTGGCTCGGTCGCAGAAGTCGTCCAGGTCTTCCGGAAAAAGCCACGAGCTGACTGCCGATCCCGGTGGGCACGTGCCGAGCAGGGAGTCGAAGGCGGGGGAGGTCTTGAGGACCTCGAAGGTTGCACCGTCGAAGACGACAGCCAGCTCGGTCGACAGCCAGTCGAGCGAGCGCTCCTGCTCCGAAGGGAGGCTGAGGCCCAAACGAGAAGGGATAACCTGCCGAGATCCGTCGCTCTCAGCGTCGCCGGCTGGTAGAGGAAAGAAAAAACTGCGCAAGCAGAACACTTCACAGATTCGCGCGGATGTCCTGGATTGGTGCCGGACCCCCCTGCCTGGCGCGCGGAGCGCACCAGGGGCGGCGCCAGAGGCGCCGGCAGGGTGCCCCAGCGTAGATCCAAGAGATCCGCGCGGAGCTCCGAAAGCTTCTGCTTGTGCACTCTGTTCTCCCTCGAGCTGAGGCCCGGCTCAGGATATCGATACCTCGATCGAGCTCATCGCACAAAGCCTCAACGGTCGGCCGCCGATCTGGCCTCACCTGCGTGCACCGCTTCACCGACGCGCTGCACCAGCGCTGCAGGCTCTGCAGGTCGCCAGGGCCATCCGGCCAGGTCAGAACGAGCGGCCGCCCCCGATGTCAGAGGAACAAAACACTGCACGAGCATCGGGAGCGGCCAAGAGGGGGGTGTCCCAGAGGGGGGGGTGCAAATCATGACCGGCGACATGTGCGCGGCCCAGCGGGGGGGCCAGGGACGTACTGAAATAAGAAGAGGCGCCATGAAATCTGAGGAAATATCATGGCCCCCGCCATGATGTCCACCCCCCCCTCGTCGTCAGCACCCCCCCCCCTCTGCCGCTCCCGAGAGCAGAACAGCACCCTTCTGGGGATCCGCTCAGGCCTCCGGGGTCGGCGCCGGGCCCCCCTCCCTGGCGCGCGGAAACCGCGCCACGAGGGAGGCCCAGCGCCGACCCTGCGCGCGGACCGCCCCCGGGTTAAGTCGTGCCTGTCCCCCTGCAGGGGGATTCTCGACGAAAAACTAAAACATACCCCCAGCAAAGATTAAAAAATAGTCCAAGAATGATATGGGGACTACTTTTGGAGAATTTCTGGACCATTTTAGGGGCATTTTGGGGGTATCTTTTATTTTAGTCGAAAATCCCCCTGTAGGGGGACACGCCCGACATAACCCCAGGGGGGGTGCAGTGCTGGAGGCGCCGGCCGGGGGAGGCCAGCGCAGATCGACGAGCTCTGCGCGGACCTCTGGGGGCCTGTGCTCTTCGTGCGGGAGCCACCCGTCGGACTATTCACGATGACGCCAGCGCTCTGCACCGCTCCCCCCTCCCATTTCGGACGCCCGAAATGGGTACGCAAAGAATGGGCACAATGCCCAACAATAAGCGTTATGCCAAACCAACAGCGGCCGCTGTCGGGCAGGCGGCCCTCTGTCTCGAATGGACACAGGCCGCGGCGGCGTGGACAGCGAATCTGGTTCAAAATGAACAGGATCCACTGTTGGGCATGGTATCCATTCTTTCCGTGCCCATTTCGTTCGTGCAGATCCCCCTGGCCACGTCACGACTTGCGCGCGGGCGCCGTCTGGGAATTCGCAGATCCTAAACGCTCCCAGACGGCTGCGGGAATCGTGACGTTTCGGGGATGGACAGACCCACCTTTAGTAAAACGTGGTTTAGTGAAAACGACCTGAGGCCCGAACCTGGCGGGCGCAAGCCTGGAAAATAACGGCCACGGCGCCCTCTCGAGAACCGAAAACGGACAATTCACTCACTGTTGGGGGTTCTGTCCACCCCCGAACGTTATGGACCCCCTCGCTTCCCAACCCCCCCAGGGTCGCGCTCGCTGTCGCCGGCGAACAGAACCGCTGCCTCCAGTGGTTTGCTCCTTCGGGATGTCTGTTCTGGGCCAGCTCGCTGGAGGCCAGCCCCTCGAAGGGCGTCGCCCCAGTCGAGGTGAAGAACATCAGCAGGCCGAACGAATACACGTCGGCTGCCCCCTCTGGACGGACGTTCCTCCGAAACAGCTCCGGGGCCCTCCACCGCGTGGTGCCTCCCAGGGGCACCGCCGAGCGGGTGAGCAGGCGCGCGAGGCCGAAGTCCAGCAACTTCGCGCGCGCCACGGTGCCGCCACGGGCGCACACCTGCTGCACAAGGATGTTGGAGTCCTGAGATTAGCTGTCACGGCAGAAGTCGGGCCGGGCGAGAGGGGGGGATAGCAAAGGGAGGGCTTGAGGATCAGATCACGCAGCTGATTTTCCCGGCGCCCCCCGGCGCCGGGAGGCGCCCAGGTATCGAGGAATGGGCCCGGCGGCGGGGCCGAAACCAGCTGCATGCAGCAGATTTCGTAACCCCCCCATTCCCAATCCCCCCCTTTCGTTCGGCCCGATACCACTAACCGGGTCCCCTTACCTGGGGTCCTGGCCAGTCTCGGCCACGCGCAGAGGGGGGTGGGGGGAGGGGGGAGGGCTGCTTAGAAGCACCCCTGCTTCTTAGAAGGCGCGGGCCTCATCTATAGATGTAAGGCCGGCGCCTTCTAAGACCTCCTTCTAAGAAGCCCTCCCCCCTCCCTCTCCCCCCCTTTCGTTCGGCCCGAAACAGTCGCCTGGATTTCCGTGGCCGGCGCTGGGCCCCTGTCCCGCCCTGGCGCGCCCCGCGCGCCAGGGGAGTAGTGTGTGTGGAGAGGGGGGCTCCCACGCAGGCCCGAGAAATCCGCGCGGCCCTCGAGAACTGTACGCTTGTTCTTGCTGCTGTCGATGGGCCGAGGTTCCACCACCGCTACAGTAGAATGGAGAGGAAGGAGGAGAGCGAGGAGGAGGAGGAGGAGGAGGAGGAGGAGGAAGAGGAGGGCCTCCCCATCCTCCCTTCTCCACCATCCTACTTGTGGCAGCGGTGGTGGAACGTTTGCCCCTCCGCGGATCTGTCCTTCAGGTCGCCATGGACAATTGCCGGGGTCCGCGAATGTAGGTAGCGCAGCGCGCTCAGGGTGTCGAGCACGACCTGCTGCCGCTCGCTGGCGGTGGCGGTGCCGCTGCGAGGCTGGATCCTCGGCCCCCCTCCCTCGCCATCGCTGCCCTCGGCCTTGGGCGCCTGGATGAAGTGCGGCAGGGGCACGCCTGGAGGGACAAGGGAAACTGCACCAGCACAAACTCCTGGAGATCCGCGCGGACTTCTCGGATCGGTGCTGGACCCCTCCTGGCCATCGCTCGGACGTCCATTCCCTGTGTTTCTGTTCGGTTTCGTGCGTGATTTCTTCGCCAAATGATCAAGGATGCTCCTCGATGGTCCTCGCCGAAGGGAAAATGCACACGCCCGAGCGACGCCGAGCCTCTCGCTGCGCCAGAGGCGCCGCCAGGGGCTCCCACGCGCCGATCCTGTGAAAATCCGCGCGGGCCTCCGAGAGTTCATGGTTGCGTGGTCTGGTCTTCTTCTCGGGAGCGGCCAAGAGGGGGGTTGTCCAAGAGGGGGGGGGGGGGGGGGGCAAATCATGACCGGCGGCATGTGCACGGCCCAGCGGGGGGGCCAGGGACGTAATGAAATAAGAAGGGGCGCCATGAGATCTGGGGAAATATCATGGCCCCCGCCATGATATCCACCCCCCCCTAGTCATCTCCCCCCTCTTTTCCGCCCCCGATCTTCAAACGCCGTCGATGAGCTCCAGCACGAGGCGAAGTCGCTCGAACCTCTCGTCAATGATGGCGCCGAAGAGGAGCACGATGTTGGGGTGCCGGAGCCGGCGCAGGACCCGCAGCTCGTTGCAGAGCGCCGGCAACATCTGGCGGGGAAGGCTTGCCTCGAGGTCGCTCTTGGGCGCCTTCAGGGCTACGGGCGTGCCGTGGTAGGTCCCCGCGAACACGACGCCAAACCCGCCGATGCCGAGGACTTGGTCCGGCAGCGCCCTCGGGGCGGGGGGGGAGGGGGGCACGCCCTCCCAGGACGAGAAGCCAGGGCTCGCCACGAGAACGAGCCGAAGACGAAGACACCGGGCGCGAGGCCCCAGGACGAAGACCCTGGGACAGAAACAAACAGTAGTTACTCATCGGTCGGAAGTAGGTAGAAGCATAAAGTAGAAAGGCGTTGAAAATCCGCCGACCCCATGAAGAAGCGTGTGCGACATCCGCCGGCAGTCTCCCACCACGTCAGAACACTCCCAACCCCGACACCTCCCCACCACGTCAGAACACTCCCAACCCCGACACCTCCCCGCCATGCCTGACACCCCCGGTCTCCTGGAGATTCTGGGTGCCGGTTCTCCAGGATCACCCACACTGTGCGAATCGTCGCCGGCACCGCCCTACCTTATTTGACACTCCCAACCTTGAAGGGGCCCTGGGACACACAAAAAATTGACACAAATAAAAGGATTTCTCATTGTTCCTTATATATGTTCAGGGTTTTTGTCTTCCCCCCGCTTCCCATAATTTCCCCATATTTTCGAAGGAATCGACAATGAATTGTGTCTGTGTGTTTCTTGCCCTCCTGAACCGCGCTCGACACCGCCAGCATCGTGGACCCCCTGGCCACAGGTTCTTAGGGGCACCCAACCACGCCCGACACCGCCAGCATCGTGGACCGCCTGGCCACAGGTTCTTAGGGGCACCCTACCCTTCAAAATCCTTGTCAGGACCCCCCACCACACCCGACACTGCCAGCATCGTGGACCCCTGGCCACACGTTCCTAGGGCACCCCACCCTGCAAAATCCTTGCCGGGACTCCCCACCACGCCCGACACGGCCAGCATCGTGCACCCCCTGGCCACAGGTTCTGACGGGCACCCCACCCTGCAAAATCTTTGCCGGGACCTCCCACCGCGCCCGACACCGACACCATTTGGGACTCCCTGGCCACCGCCAGCATCGTGGACCCCCTGGCCACAAGTTCGTAGGGACACCCCACCATGCAAAATCCTCGCCGCGACCCCCACCACGCCCGACCCCGCCACCACTTTGGACCACCTAGCCACAAGTTCTTAGGGGCACCCCACCCTTCAAAATCTTTGCCAGGACCCCCCACCACGCCCGACACCGCCAGCATCGTGGGCCCCCTGGCTGAGGTTCCTTGCTGGGACCCCCCACCACGCCCGACACGGCCAGCATCGTGCACGCCCTGGCCACAAGTATTGAGGGACTTCGGGGCACCCCACCCTGCAAAATCCTCGCCGGGACTCCCACCACGCCCGACACGGCCAGCATCGTGCACCCCCTGGCCACAGGTTCTGACGGGCACCCCACCCTGCAAAATCTTTGCCGGGACCCCCCCCACGCCCGACACCGCCAGCATCGTGGGCCCCCTGGCTGAGGTTCATTGCCGGGACCCCCCACCCCGCCCGACACCGCCAGCATCGGGGACCCCCTGGCCACAAGTATTGAGGGACTTCGGGGCACCCCACCCTGCAAAATCTTTGCCGGGACCCCCCACCACGCCCGACACCGCCAGCATCGTGCACCCCCTGGCCACAGGTTCTTAGGGGCACCCCACCCTGCAAAATCTTTGCCGGGACCCCCCACCACGCCCGATACCGCCGGCATCGTGGACCCCCTGGCTACACGTTCCTTCCTGGGACCCCCCACCACGCCCGACACCGCCAGCATCGGGGACCCCCTGGCCACAAGTATTGAGGGACTTCGGGGCACCCCACCCTTCAAAATCTTTGCCGGGACCCCCCACCACGCCCGACACCGCCAGCATCGTGTACCCCCTGGCCACAGGTTCTTAGGGGCACCCCACCTGCAAAATCCCCCACCACGCCCGATACCGCCGGCATCGTGGACCCCCTGGCTACACGTTCCTTCCTGGGGCCCCCCCACGCCCGACACCGCCAGCATCGTGGACCCCCCCCGCCACAGGTCCGGGACCCCCCACCACGCCCGACCTCGCCACCGCAGTGGACCCCTTAGCCACAGGTTCTGACGGGCACCCCACCCTGCAAAATCCTGTCTTCCAACAAAGCAGTTCCAACAGTAGAAATGAACCATTGCAGGGGCCTAAGAAGAGGGAGCTTGGACGGAGGGTCTTCCTTTTCCTCCGCCGGGACCCCCCGCCACGCACGACACTGCCATCATGTTGGACCTCCGGGCCACAAGTGTTCCGGGGCACCCCACTTACAAAATCCTCGCCGGGACTCCCACCACGCCCGACCCCGCCAGCATCGTGGACCCCCTGGCCACAGGTTCTTAGGGGCACATCGCTTGCCGGGACCCACCACCACGCCCGAAAACGCTCCGCCGCCGACCTCCCCCAGCGTCCTCAGCGCTCGGGAGCTTTATTCTCGAGACCCCCCACGCGGCAATTCGTCGCCCGAAAACGCCCCGCCATCCACCTCGCCCACAATCCCCACGCCTCGGGAGCTCTGTTCTGGAGATCCCCCCTTCGAAACACCTGACGAACCCTCGCCCGAAAACGCTCCGCCGTCGACCTCGCCCACGGCCCCCTTCCCTGGGGGGCTCTGTTTTCGGGGCCCCCCCTGGACAACTCCTCGCCTGAAAACGCACCGCCGTCGACCTCGCCCACGATCCCCAGCGCTCGGGAGCTCTCTTCTCGAGACACCCCACTCGACAATCCCTCGCACGACACAGCTCAGCCTCGCCCACCAGCAAAGCCTTGGGGAGCCCTGTTCTGGCGGCCCCCCACTCGACATTTCTTCGCTCGAGAACGCCCCGCCGTCGACCTCGCCCACAAGCCGGACTCCTCGGGAGTTCTGTTTTGGCCCCCCCCACCCTGACACGCGCACGCGCACGCGCGCGCACGCGCGCGCACGCGCTCACACAAACACGCACACACGCACGCACGCACGCACGCACGCACGCACGCACACACAGACACGCACACGCACACGCACACGCACAAGCACACGCACACGCACACGCACACGCACACGCACACGCACGCACACGCACAACGCACACGCACACGCACACGCACACGCACACGCACACGCACACGCACACGCACACGCGCACGCGCACGCGCACGCGCATGCACACGCACACGCACACGCACACGCGAACGCGCACGCGCACGCGCACGCGCACGCGCACGCGCACGAGCACGAGCACGCGCACGCGCACGCACCAGCACCAGCACCAGCACCAGCACCACAGACACACAGACACACAGACATACAGACACACAGACAGACAGACAGACAGAGTCCAAGCCAGCGCAAGCAATGAAACGGCCCAGCTGTACCTGGGGGCCCCGGCCGGATTGCACCGGTGCGATCGCGGGGACTTCAGGAAACTGCGCGTGCCCGCCATGCAGGTTTGCATTCGCCTGGCACGCAAGGGGAGGGAGGGAGAGAGGGAGGGGACGGAGAGGACGAGGGGGAGAGGAAGAAGAGGAAGAAGAAGACGGCGGCGACCCCGAAAAATCAGCCGCCCGAGCGTGCCCAGAAAACAATGTTGAAAAATGCCGCCTCTTGGATGAAGCGGCATTTATGGCCGATACTTCCTGCGTGTGCAAAGACACGACGCGACGACTTTCATGGCGACAAAAAGCAACGGCACCGAAGCGAGAGCGCGCATTCGCGCCCGCACATTATTTTTTGCAATATAAGACGGGGCGCTGGGCGCCTCGATAATGGGCGGGCGGCGGCGGGGCAAATCTCTGGCCGAGCTGCCTACCGCGGGCGTGGGAGCCGATGCGTTCGTGAGGGGAGGGGCCATAGGGGGCAGGATGAAACTCGACTCGGCCGCCCACGGATCCTCCTCCGCCTCCTCGAAAACGGGCTCGGAGTGAGACGCGGCCGTAAAAAGTCACGCGGCCGGAACAAACGGAGGGTGGGAGGGGAGCTCACGGCATGAACAATTCGCAGCGTTGCTGCTCCAGCGCGGCCGCCCCGTACGCCGACAGAGCCAGCTGCGCGCTGCCAGCCTGAAGGACGGAAGACAAATCGCGCCACGCGGCCGCGGCGGACCTGCTGAACCCCGAGGCGGCGTCCACCGCGAAGCGGCGGATGAAGGCCTGAGCGCTCTGACCTGGCCGCCCGTTCGCCTCCAGCACGAAAGGAATGGCTGTGTTGTTGTAGCGGACCCGCTTCATATGCCCCCCTTCCCGCGCTGCGGCGCCGGCCTGCCGGGCTCGGATGCAGTTGGCGCGCTCGACGGTGCTGACGGCCGACGTCACTTCGACATCAACCCGCCGCAGCTTGGCATCGTGGTGGATAGCACTGTCGACCCGGCCCGTCTCGTCGGGACACATGTTCTCCGTGCTCTGGGTCCGTCCCTGGTTCGGCCAGGCGGCCAGCCAGCGCGTCGTGGTGCTTAATGACGAAGCCACCCACTGGGCAGACCTTGGCGTGATGCCCCGCGGCGTCAATCTGGTGCGTGCGCTGCCCTGCCGGGCCCACATGGCAGCACTGTTGGTCCGCCTGGCGAGGCCGGAGGCACCCGCCGAGTCGGCGGCAGTAGGCGATGCGGAACGAGACATCGTCCATGGCGGTGTCGGGGTTGCTGAGCAGCCAGAGGAAACCTCCCGCGCCCGGTCCGCCGGCCGACAAGAAGGCCGCGGCCGCCGGAGGGGAGAGCGAGGCCTTGAAGCGCCTGACAGACTCGTACTGCATTTGCTGCGTGAGGCGCTTCTGGCGGAAAGGACATGTCGGAGGAACTCCATGGGCCCAAAGGATGGAGGCCGTTGGCCCCACCAAGTCCCGCACGCATTGCACCGCGCTGGCAATATCCTGCGCGAAGGTGCCGTCGACAGCTAGTAACTGGTCGACCCCCTCGGGGCCGCAGACCCGGACCACGAAAGGATGGACCCGGCTTTGGGCGGCAAGAAATGTCGGAGCCGCCACTTTGCCAATCATCCCGAAGCCGGTGCCGCCTTCCCGCTGGGGGAAAGCTCCCTGCCGCCAGGCTTGCTCGGCGCGCGTCACGCCGATGAGGCAGTCCCACAGATCCC